GTTCCGGGCCGAGGCGGAACTGCGATAAGCGTTATCGAGATCTAGATGCTATAGCACCGATCCCTCTCATGACGGGTGCAAACCCGTTTCATTCCAGTCCCCCTCGTGGGGCGGACGAGCGAACAGTGCCGCCCGTCGCGTCGGGAACAGTCCTCCCTGTGCCGCCTCTGAACGACTTTGCGGTCGCTGCTCCTTCGGGAGTGGCTGTTCGAGACCTCTCCCTGACGAAGGAGGACGTCACATCTGTACCCAAACTCGCGCGTGCATTGGGGCACACCAGGGACCGGACTTGGGTCGTGGGGGATCTCCTCTCGACCCTGGTGAGCTGGTTCTTAACGCGCGGTAGCGAGGCTCGCCGTCTCGGCGGTGAGCTGGACGCGGCGTCCGTTTCGGTGCAGCGTTTGCAACGCGAACTTGCGTCGGCGCGGGATGCTTCTCACCATCAAACCAGCGCGTACGAACGCGCCGTCGCGAACCGCGATCGGTACCGTCAAGAGAGAGACGGCTTGCGGGCTGCTCGGGCCTCTACTGCGCACGAGGCTGTCCGCCAGCCACGCAGATGGCCCGATCCGTATGCCGTTCCGGGGGCCGATCCCCTCGTGCCGTATGGTTCGAGGGCAGCTGCAGTCCCCGCTCGCGGAGGCGCCTCTTATCAGAGGGTCTCCATGCCCACTGTCGAGGAGCTCGCGGAGGGCCCGCCGCGGAACGCCGACGTTCCGCGTCACCCCGGGTATTGTCCCCCGCGGTCGTTCGACCATGGCTGTACGGACCGTAGCCACGATATCGGCCGTTGAGGCGGTCCGGGTCATCACCAGGGACGTCCTGTGCCATTCGTAAAGATGTTTGCCTTTGTTGCCTTCGTCCCCGTCCGCTCGGTGCGGCGGGTACTGTCCTACTCCTCCTTCAATTTTTTTCTTTCCTCGTACCGACTTGCGGACTCCCAACACAGCATGCCACCCAGAGCTGGTGGTGCTCGCTGCCCGCGCGTGGCTGCGAGCGCGACGACTAAGCGCTCCGCAGCCATGGTGTAGTCCGGGTCAGGGATCACGGAAGACCACCACTGCCTCGCCCTTGCGGGCATGACGTCAGGGGAAGGAAGCGTTAGCGCGGGGCGGTCGGTACTGCCCCTCGCCGCCCTGACGTATGTGTACCTGCCCCTCGCCGTCGTTAACGAGAGCGCTACACGTCCTGCCCCGAAGGGTGTGGTTTTCTTGGAGGCGGGAGCGAAGTAAGAGCGCTCCTGGGTCGTGGGCAGCGCGGTTGCCTGTCATTCCCGTCGTCCCGTGAAGTATCCAGCGCGCCCGCGGCCCCACTCCGCGCTGCGGTGCGCCGTCTTCCTTACTCACCCCTTTCCCGTGGGGTAGATCGTGCGTGTCCGTCTCTATTGTGGTGCATGCGTGCAGCCCAACTTGTTTTCTCAACAACACGCGTCTCGTCGGCCATCCCACGAGAGGGGGCCGACTTCCTGTTCCGTGGCGGGAATCGTTGTGTCAGCTTTCCCGAACGTGTTTGTCTCGTCGTGCGACAAGTCTAACAGCTCGCCCGCCTTCGTATCCCTCCTGCTCGGAAAACGAGACAGTGCCACGAAAGGCTGTCTCTCGTTACCGAAGAGCGCATGAGACCTTCGTGAACGTCGACGTGCACGCTCACGCACCCGTCTGCGACGGTCGCCTCCCTTTTGGTATGGAAGAGCTTGGTCATGCTTGTCCCTCAGCGAATCCCGTCGCGTCAGACCTCGTCTCCCCGTCCTCGCTCCCCTCGCCATCGGGGCGAGGGTGCGAACGCGCGGCATTCGTCTTCTTCCTCGCTCGCGCCTCTCGCCATCCGTGGCAGGGGCGCAAGCGCGCGGTGAAGGTCTTCTTGTTCGCGCCCCTCGCCATCGGGGCGAGGGCGCGGACGCGTGGACGTACTTATTCTTCTTCGCGCGTGCCCCCCGCCATCGGGGCGAGGGTGCGAACGCGCGGAATCGTTGTAGTGCAATGTGCCTGGCAGGCCGCGAACACAGTCCGACGGTCAAACAAAAAGACGAAAAACAACAACAGCAACAACCACTGCCGATGGCACGCGCTACGGAGCGTTCGAGACTCCCTTTCCCCTTGTGTGGGCTTGCTGCCCACGGTAGCTCAACTCCGACGGGGGGGTTAAGGAAAGATACCCGGCCCGGGAGGATAATGGTGGTAGAGACTTGTGAAGACTTGGGCGTTCGACGAGTGCGGGTTGGGCTTGTCTACAACGATGTAACCGCGGTTCGCTGGGTTGTAAGGCCAATGCTCGACGAGCGTCTTCAGCACCTTGTGTATAATTCAAGGTCTTCGACGGGGGCTTGTTCAGCACTACCCGACGGGATCGTAACCGTGTAGCAACGCTACTACCGACGTGTTGCCCGATGGCTAAAAACACCCTCACCAGCGCGATCGCAATCGCGGTAGGTGGTACCAACTCTGTCTTGTACAGCAAGACCTTCGACGGAGGGGTCGTTGCAACAGCGTTCCGACGGAACTTGAAACAGTAGCAGCGCTACACAACGTGTTGCCCGATGGCTAAAACACCTACACCGGATCGGTCGCAACCAACTCCAGTGGAACCAACACAATTAAGGGAAAAATAGAGGTAGAGGTAGAAATAAATAGGGAAATAAAGGAAAAAGAAAAGGGAACCCCCGAGCGCAAAGGATAACGTAATCTGTGGTAAAAGGGAGCGTCTTGGGAAAGACGGACTTCGACCAAGGCGATATTCAACTCTGGCAACTCGGGTTACCTTTACTGACTTGGTCGTCAGAGGGCTAAGGTATATATCGCCCCGCCGGAGCCTCTACAGTAGCTCGCGGCGTTAGATCCTAGATCTAATCTAGTGTCAACAAACTTAATGCCAACTAATTAACTAAATAAAATAAAATAATTAAAAATTAAAACTGTGCAATTATTCACACGTGTGTCCCCCAACCCGGACTACTTTTCATATTCAAATATTTTCCTTTCTTTTCACCCCCCTTTCCAGGTGCGTATTGCACTACAATCGTCTTCTTCTTCGCTCGCGCCTCCCGCCATCGGTTGCGGGGTCGCAAGCGCACGGCGAACGTCTTCTTGTCCGCGCCCCTCGCCATCGGGGCGAGGGGGCGGACACTCGACGAACGTTCTTTTCTTTTCACGCGCCCCTCGCCATCGGTGGCGAGGTCGCAGCGCGCAGCGCGTGTTCTCCTTCAATCCTCTCGCGTCCCTCGCCATTCGGGGCGAGTGTGCAGCCTTCGCGGGTGCGGTGACGTTCCTCCATCAAAGGCGCTGTCGATTCGTTCGACGCCAAAGTAGACGGTGGGGGTTTGTATCCCGCTCGTCGGGGCGTGTCGGTCGTGCGACACGCGCTCGGCGCCGTGCACGTGCGATCCGTGCCACCCCTCTGCCCAGGGCAATGTCCACCACTCAATATTTTTGGTTTCGGGGTAGTGCGGCGGTGTCGACGCCGCCGCTATTCGGCGGCCAATCTCGGACGGTGCCCCCGGGAAGCTGCGCGTTCGGAGCGCTGCTTCGTTGGCGCCTTCGCCGAGTGTGTCCCCCTCATGGTGTTGTACTGTCCGTCTGAAGGGTCGAGTCGGGCTACGTTTGGCCATCCCGCGGGGCATTGCGTGTCTCGTATGCCAACGTGCGTACGTTCGCCCACGTGAGTTGCCCATTTTTCCCCCGATTAAGTTTCCGTTAATTTTTCCATTCCCGTGGTGGCGGATTGACACCGAGCGAGCGGTGCGCTGCGTGTGGTTGCCGCACTGTTTGAAAAGTGTCCCCATTTCTTCTCATTTTTTCACACCTCATCCGCCGGTGGTGCTGTCGAGACCGGGTCGGGGGTAGGACAGTGTAGTTTTCTCCTTGCCCCAATTTTCGCGTATTAGCCGTTGGGGTAGCGGCTCGGTATCTCATCCGGGACCCCTGTCCTCACGAGCCACAGTGACTCTCAGTCCCTACGCCCCCGCGTTTCAGCTCCTCTCCGCAACTTGCAACACCTTGTATTGCTTAACCACTTCCACGTTCTGGGGCTTATGTGCCGTATGGAGGCGATCGCCGTTCGGCCTCCACTCGCGTTACGCACCTCCAGCGTGTGGTATTGTACGCGGTACCGCTTTCTCCCGCCATTGTGTCCAATTATACCAAGGGCGCCCGTGATGCCGTTGGGGTTGCCTCAATCGTCGGACCTCCCCTCGCCGTGGTTGCTGGACTTAACGGATCGTCCGGCAATCCTGTTCGGGGGAAGGTCGTCCGACTTTTCCGATTCGAACGGGGTTTTGCGGTCCTCGTAATGTCGGTCATTACGAGGGCCCAACATTTTTTTCAGGCAGTTCGTACTGTCCTGATCTTATGTCTCGCGTCCTTGACGTCCGAGAAGTCAAGACGACTTGACTTGAACCGTCCCCGGCTGTGACCCTCCGATAGGGTCCGCCGTCTTCCTTCGCTTCCCCTTTTAGTCTGTTCGTGCAGGCTGGGGTTAATCCGCGTAGGAGCGGTTGAGGGCCCCCCCGTTAAGCGTGAACGTCCGCGTTCACGGTTTGGGTGAGGTCTCTGCCGGTACGTCTCCGGAGGCGTTGGGCGTAACGAGACACCAACTCCTCCGGGACGTGAGTCCGCGCAGTCCAAGTGGGCGCGTCGTAATCCGCCCACTTGATGAAGAACTCCGTAGTTCCGTCTTTCATGCCTCGATGTCTCAGTAGCCGTTCGACGGCATACTGGGTTCCTGCGGTGACCTTATCGGCGAGGTCCCGCGGGGTCATCTTACTTGCTCGTGGCGCGTCTATCGGAGACGGCGCGTACACGCAGCCGTCGGCGGGGACTCGCTCGGTGACCTCATCACGATCGATCGTGATGGTTCGGAGGTCATTGGCGAGCACGCGGTAGGGTCCGACAGCGGGCGAGGCGAGCTTGTTCGATGTCTTAGCCCCATCGGTGGGGTTGAGATATACGTATTCTCCGGGACGGAGCCGGGAATTAATACGTCGTATGCGCTTATCGAAGTCAGGCTTATAGCGAGCCTGCGTCCGACGCAGGCTCCCGTAGGCCTTTTTGGATAGTCAAGTCCAAGGTCTTGAGGAACTCGGCACGTTGGTTCCCCCTATCGGAAGGGGGCGTGTCGCCGTCCGCCCGTCGGAGAGAGAACTCCGGCGCTGGCCTGCTGAGCACGAGCTCAAACGGCGTGGTGCGTGTGGTGCGATGTACGTGGGAGTTGTACGCATACATAAGCGGCCCCACGTACACATACCAGTCGTCCTGGTGTTCACCCACGTATTTCCTCAGCATCGAGGAGATTGTTCGGTTATATCGCTCAACTTGCCCGTTCGTCTGGGAATGGTACGCCGAAGTGTACAAATTCGTTATCCCCAGAACGCGGCACGTGCTGTGGAAGAACTTGGCATTAAACTGAGGGCCGTTGTCCGAAAGCAACGTGCGAGGGACGCCATACTTGAACACCCACGAGTCGCAGAACGCAACTGCGACCGTGTGCGCTGTTATCGTGGGGAGCACAACGACTTGCGTTAGCTTACTGAAGCCGTCCGTAATCACGAGCAGGAATCGTTTTCCTGTCTTCGTCTTGGGGAGCGGCCGCAAGACGTCGATCGTGAGGCTCTCCAAGGGCCTCGTAGCTGGAAACAATCTCAATCGGTTAAGATGTTTCCTCAGCTTCACCCGGTTCATCGCGCAGGTTCGACACCCTCGCACCGTGGCTGCCGCGTCTGCAGCCAGGTGGGGCCAGTAGTACTCGCGTCGAAGTGCGTAGTACATACGGTTCTGGCCCGGGTGCCCCGCGATGGCCGGGTTGTGGCACAGGCGAAGGAGCCTGGCGCGGAGCGTCCGAGGTACCACCACCTGAACGATATAAGGGTCGAAGGGGTGTCTCCGTTTGAGCACCCCATGGTGGTCCTCGAAGAACGCGGAGTCCCGGGACTCTGACTGTCGTGCCAAAACGGTTTGGCAGAGGTCATCCACGCGTTGCTCCGCGGCTATCTCCTCTATCGTAAGAGGGGCCGGAAGGTCGTCCTGCGGTGGGGCGACCGGGGAGTCGAGCGCGCCAGCCTCGGGGTCTTTGGCGCGCTGGATGTCGGCGGCGTCGAACTCGTCGTTCTCCTCCCAAAACGAATTGGGTCCTTGGAGAGCGGGGGCTTCGTCGTCGCCTCTCGGTTCGTCGCGCGTCCGTACGCGTGACCTTGTTCGGGCTTCGGCTTGATTCCGTGTCGTTACGAAGACATGGACGGCCTGATGATCGCAGCTCGCGGTACAAGCGTGGTCCGCGAGCTCGTTCAATACGTCTCGAACTGTCGTGCCCCCGTCGAAAGTGGGGATGTCGTCATCCACCTCGAGGCTGGGGCGAGGGTCATCGGCGACCTTCGGCGACACGAGTCGTGACAGGGCATCGGGCACCTGATGCACGCGTCCGGGGCGGTACTGAATGGTGAAATCGTATTCAGCCAGACGTAGCCGCCACCGGGTGAGTCTTCCGGAACTCTCGGTGAGGCACATGAGCCATCGGAGGGCGTCATGGTCCGTCCGTACGGTGAACTTCGTGCCTCCTACGTACGGACGTAGTGTGCGGACGGCCCACACTACGGGGAAGCACTCGCGTCGGTAGCGCTATAGTTGCGCTCACTCTCGGACAGTGAGTACGACCAATACCCCACGGGGCGCCAGTCGTTCGGCTCTTCGTGCTCCTGAAGTAAGGTGCAGCCGAGTTGGTAGGCACTCGCGTCGGTGTCTATCAGGTACGGACGACCGTGCCGGAGGCAACGCGAGGATCGGCGGAGCGATCATGCACTTCTTAAGGTTCTCGAACGCCTGAAGTTGCAGCTCCGTGGGGTTATAGAAATCGGGATCCGAATCCTTGCGCGTCACGTCGGTCAGAGGACGCGCAATCTTAGCGAACCCCTTAACGAATCGGCGGTATACGTTACACGCCCCGAAGAACGAGCGCACTTGCGTCAACGTCCTCGGGAACTTGAACGTCTTGAAAGCGTCGGCCGCCGTATCAGCCACGCTCAACTTGCCTGGGGAGATGACGTGCCCCAGGTAGTGCACCTTCGGTCGGAAGAAGCTGCACTTCTTGAGCTTAAGGGAGATACTGGAACTCCGCAGTAAGCTCAAGACGGTATCGAGATCCTCGCGTGTTCTCCGTGCGTACGGGAGAACACGATCACGTCATCGAGATAGACGAGGCATATTTGCTAGCGGACTCCGGAGAGTATTATGTCGAGCGCACGTTGGAAGGTGGCCAGTGCCCCTTTGAGTCCAAACGGCCTGCGAAAGTGGCGAAACGTGCCCATATGCGTCGTAAACGTGGTCTTGTCCCGGTCTTCCGGAGCGACCGGGATCTGCCAGTAACCGGAATTGCAGTCCAACGTGGTGAAGACGGCTGCATCTCCTAGCGAGTCGATGCAGTCGTCCATCCGTGGCAGCGGATACGAATCCGCTGCGGTCTTCGCGTTGAGACGCCGCTAGTCCATGCAGAACCGAAGAGAGCAGTCTTTCTTCGGTACGAGCACCACCGGGGACGCCCACTCGGTGCTGGCAGGTTCGATAACCCCTGCGTTCAACATCTTGTTGACCTCCTTCGCGACCATTTCGCGCATGGCCAGGCCATTCCGATAGGGCATAGAACGAATCGGTTTCGTTCCCGGTTCGAGAGGAATGCGGTGCTCAGTAGCTTGGATCGTTCCAAGCGCACCGCTCCACAAACTCGAGTGCTTACGGAGCATTTCGAGTACGTGGCCACGGATCTTGTCATCGTCGATGTATGACAGGTCGATCTCTTTTTCCCAATCCATCGGTGGATTTTCGGGATCCTTTTGCTGGGGGAGTACAGTACCCCTCGCCGTCGGTTGGCATAAAGGCGACCGTTCGTCCGGGTCGACCCCCCTGCCCCCGGCGGTGGTCTTATCGTCGGAGTTGGATCGGCCAACTCCTACCCCACCGACTTGATCGGTCACGTCGGTCAGGTGTAGCGCGTGCGCGATCCCCTCGGCCACCTTACGTTCGGGAGTGAGGATCGCGAGGAGGTTGCGCTTCGCGTATCCCACGACGGTGTGCTTCGGAAGCCTCCTTTCTCGTCGTGAGAAATTCGCGACGATGACGTCGAAGGTCTGATTCGGTAGGACCTCCGCGACGCCATTCGTCAGCCTCACTCCGTGTCGGTGTTGGAGTGAGGGCTTGGGTTCCAGGAACACGAGGCCCCTCCCCGCGGTTGTCACACGCACGCGGGCTTGTGACATCGCGGGGATGGTAAGCCAACGGGCGATTCGGATCGCTTGCGGGGCCTCCTCGCGTACGTCTGGCCGACCCGGGTGTCGTCCGTGTCGCCTGGTAGGGGGAGTCGACTCCCCCTTCCCGTCGACGATGGCAAGGAGCCGCCTTGGCGTAGCTACATTCGTTGAGCTTCGATGTCGATACATCGCACCTGCGTATCGATGAAGGCCGTGTCGAGGAGGACCGGCACGGCGAGCTGGTCCGCGACTACGAACGGAATTCAGAACACCGTGTTCCTCAACCGCACGGCCAGGCGGACGACGGCCGAAAGCTTGAGGGGGTTGCTATTCGCGCCTGCCAGTCGTGGCAGAGGTGCGTCGTGCACGACGTAACGCGTCCAATCGGGGAAAAGGTCGGCCTTCCTCACCAGATTATACGCCGAGCACGTATCAACGGCGATCGTGCGGGGTTTAAATGCATTTCCCTCTGTGGCTATCGAGCCGAGGACGTTGTAAATCTTCGACGTCATAAGGCAAATGACGCCGTCGACAACCTTCGGGGCGGCCTTATCGGTGAGGTCGTTCCGCCGGGGCCTTCGATTTCGGTGCTGGCCCCGCTTGCGTTTCCTTCTCCCCCTTTCTTGGGACGTCCGCAGATCAGTGACGCCCCCCCAATTATTCGAGTCCGTACGACACGGACCCTTCTCCGGCGACCTCGGGCTCGCGGGAGTCAGGGGGTCGACCGAATCTTTTCGGTCGTCGTTGCCCCCGTCGCCATTGTTACGCCTCACCGGGACGTCGGCTGTCCCGGTGTCTTGTCCTCCTATCGTCGGGCCTTCGGAGGCCTCGGCGTGCGCTCCCTCCTGTATCGGCATTACAGGAGCTCTCGTGCTCGCCTCCGGTAGCGGGGGATGTATTATCGGACAATACCCCCCGTGTCCTTGGCGAGCACGCGGGGTCGGGTCTAGTTCGTGGGGAAAAAACGGCTCAAGCGACCGCGTGTACGTAACCGTCTTTACCCTTTTTTCGAACTACCCGTGCTACAGGAGCTAACCTCCTGGCTATCGACGGCCAGGTCTTCTTCGGGTAGCCGGCCGCGTGGGTCGGGACGATTCCCCCATTGCGCCTTGCCGAAGTACTCGGGTACTTCCGGGCCTTGACCTGCGGCGTCTGGTCGTCGCAGGATATGGGGGACGACGCAAGTCGGTTCTCCTTGGTGACCCTCCGTGGGTAGAGGGTACGGATCCTCTACCCAGTCTTGCAGGTACATTTTCGCATTTTGTACCTGTTGGGGTAACCGAGAACGGTCTCGGTCACCTCTTTCTCCTTGTCGGGGGTACCTTGTGTCCGCCTGCCGGTAGGCGGGTCGATCCTGACGATCGACTTCGTTACGACGGTACTCGCCTCCACGGGGGGCGAAGCGTGGGCCCCCACCCGATCGGTTCGGGAAACCTTGACGCGGGGGACGGCCCTCACTCGCTGCTTGCCGGAGGAGATTACGCGCACCGGGGCGCGTCTCTGTCGCATAAACGCCCCACACCCGGCGGAGGGGGTGTTTGCGATGTTTGGCGGAAGACCCCGGATCGGCGTACCGAGGGTTTTGAACCAACCAACGCCACTGGAAGCGGGCCGGTAGCGGGTGGTAGAGCGTGGTCGGCGGGGACGCGCGCGTAGGCGAGTGGATCGACGCCTCGACGCCCCGGAGCAGTACCGGTTGACGATCCGGTACTGACGGGCGGAGGCGGATTGCAGCTCGCCGCGGTGTCGCGCGCGTCCACTACCCGCCCGGTGGTAACTACTCGCGGAACGGCGGTGTGAGTAGGGTAAGCTGGGTGGTCGACCGTCGGTGGAGGGTTGCCTGTCCTCCTCCTCCCCACCGGCGGTCGCTCACTATATTTATTGTACAAGTTAATTAACCGTCTACAGTACAGTACGGACTGTACTGTAGTCGGCTCACTGTAGACAGTGCGGGCTGGCCCGCGCTGTAACGCTGTCAGCCGTCGGGGCTGACAGAACCCGTGTGCTACACGTGGGGTACGCGTGTTGGTGCGGGCGGGCTGTAAGGTATGCGCGCGCGCACGCTGTAAGGTCCGTACCCTACAGCGTTGAATCTAATTCCAAATCTAATGTATAGTACAGTAGCCAACGGTTATGCTACAGTCTCCATCTGGTAGCAGTAGTTCCTGTACGCCGTGAACATTCATTGTTCCGGCGACAGGAACGGGCACGCGTACACGGCATGCCCGTACGTACGGCATAGCCAGCACACGTACGCGCTGCCGTCCGTTGAGGCGAAGGTCGCCGCGTGCCGCGCCTCCTCATCGGTGAGGAGGGGCACGCGAGGCGCTTCGCTTCCTGCATTTCAGTGCGATATGTCGGGCTCTGTGACCCGGGGGTCCGTACCCTTTGCCACTCTTGGAGTGCCCGCGAACGCGGTCGCGTAACTCGATGTCGGTCGACATCGGTGAGACGGTTCGTGCCCCCACGGGCCCTGCTCTTTGCGTAATGAGGACAGGGTCGGCCTGCCACTCATCCTCCCCGATATGGAGGGTCGAGGCCTGCGAACTCGTCTCGGCGGACTTCGTATTCCTGCCAGCCTTCCCTGCCGGTTTCGAATCCGGCAGAGGTAAACCGCGCCGAGCGCAGTACGTTGTACCTTCCGCTGTGGCGATACGGCGGATGGTCGGAAGATTGGTCTTCTGACTGCCTGGCAGCCTTTGCACAGTTTCGGATACTGCGGCACGGGTTGCCGGTGCAAGTCCCCGCACGAAGTAGTGCGCGAGGGACTGTTCGGAGAATACTGCCGTGCATCGGAACGCGGCAGTCTCGAGTCGGTCAGCAAACGTGCTTTCCGTCTCATGCGACTGCTGTCGCGCCGTAGTGACAGCGTCGTACGCTTCACCTAACACGTCGCCCGTGAGGTAGCGTTTCAAGAATTGATTCACGAGTCCCGGCCAGCTCACGTCGTCATGGAGCTGGCCGGCGCGGAGGCCACGCATCGTATAACTCGTATACAGGCGCTCCGCGTCGCGCTCGAGGAAGTGCGCGAGGACTCGTACAGCAACACCTTCGGTCAGGTGTTGCGAGTTGAAGGTGATTCGGATATCCTTAAAAACGGCAGCAGCTGGATCGGGTCGGTACCGTCGAAGCTGCGCATCGTGGGACGGATCCCACGACAGCGTTGGATGTACTTCGCGATCCGTCCCGCGTCACCCGAGGTAACGAGCCTCGAGGTGTTATCCAAGCGGTACATACGATAGTCAGCAACGGCGCTGAACTCTTGGATCATCGTATGTACCGGCTCGAGCCCGGGTTCAGCGGGACCCAGCGTGCCTAAGGAGGTAACCGGTAGCGTACGGACGACTACTGGACCTGAATGCTCGGCGTAACTCGCCGGCGGGTAGCCGCCCCAGCGCGGATCGACGGAGAACCTCGGTTCTCCGGATCCGCGGGCGGCTCCTCCACGGTCCTGTTCGTCCGCGTACGATACGCGGTCCACTTGCCGCCTACTTCCGGCGATAGGCGGCAAGGCTTGGGTCTCAGACGCGACGTTCGCGTCTATCGGAGGACGGCTTCCTTCTGCAGTCCGACTGGTAGCGGCACCAGTCGGACGCCAACCTTCGGGGGCGGCGTGGCTCGGAGGTACGGTACCACCGGGCCCTCTCGAGGGGGCACCTGGTAGCCCTTCGGCCATGGTACGTTCCATGTCACGAGCACGCCGACGAGTGGCGTTGACCTCAGCGGAGAGGTGCGCGAACGCACCCAATTGCTCTGCGGACGGAGAGGTTCGGTCCTCGGGTCGTCTCACCGAGGTCGGCCTCTTAGGGCGACCTTGCCCGGACGGTCCGGGCGAGGCGAAACGGGAGTCTTCGACGAAGACTATCCCCGAGTGTAACTCGTCGATCAGTGCTAGGAGATTCTCTAAGGACTGCGTCACTCTATCGAACCTCCCTTCACGCAGGGAGCGGAGTTCGGCCATACATCAAGTGTATACATGGTCCGATACATCGATCCGAAGGGAAGTACAGACTTCCTCGATGTATTCGGCTATGCGTTCGAACATCGCCGCCGCTCTTTCCTCAGAGGATCCGAGCGACGGTTCGCGGTCACGAGGACCTGCGTCGCCGTGGCGTCGCCCGACGGGGCGGATGGGGACTGCACAGCGGCCGGACTCAGATCAGCCGCTTCGGAGCAGATCAAGGGCTCAAACTCTTGGCTCATCTCAACGCGATCGGTTCGCAGAGGGAAGCGGAAGTCTTCTCGGAGATCGGACTCTAGGGTCTTCTAGGTCGGGAGACCACTGTAGCATAAACACCCCCAACGGAGAGGGGTGTATGCACAGCTCGACGTAGACCCCGTCCGAACGGAAAGACAGGAGTGAAGCGGGACACCAGCTAACGGCACCGGGCAGCGGGCCCGGGTAGCGTGGTAGAGCGGGAACGGGGAGGACGCCGGTACGCACGAGCGGTTCGACGACTCGACGCCCCGGCGCGGTACTGGGTAACGATCCAGTACCGATGGGCGGAGGCGAAGCCGGCTCGTGGGCGTACCGCGCGCGTCCTCAACCCGCGCTCGGTGCCGCT